CGTCACTACGATTCTGAATGGAAGTCGAGTGCGGGGGCGCATCCCTCAGACGGGATTGATGAACGCCAAAAACTTTAAACTTTAACTTTATGATTGGAATTTGTGAATGTTAAGTGGATGAAATGTTCATCGAAGTTCTGTAAAGCAATTTGAGAAACAATAAACAAAGGAGGGATGGTAAGCTGTCAGAAATTTTTCGAAACATCTCAAAAACCTGTAAACTAGAAGTCATTCGAGAGCTCTCAAGATTTTAATTCATTCTGAACTGACGGAAAATGAAAAAATTTGTTGAGAATTTTTAGAGGCACAGATTCTTCAAAAGACTAATTAGCATAGTATAACATAGTTCAAATCGATTTGGAGCGAAAATAAAAATTGATATCTATCAAACCATAAATCATATCAATCAAATTTCTAAGTATCTCAATTTTCACTTACCTTCGTATTTTATCTGAGCAAGTACCATTGCTAATAAGTGTGAAATACAGAGATCATCGAAACTTATTTGCTCGCACAAGTCCCGCCCATGCAAGGCAGCCACGCCCATCAGCCCTTACTGAAACGGGCAAAATAGGCTTAAGCAGCAAAGTAGCATCGGTGAAATGATGATCAAAAAATGATCGGAATATCGGAAAAGATGCTATTAGAATGGGAAGCTTCAAGGATAGACGATATCATTGAATACGACAACTTATCGCCAATGATCATCAAAACCGATCTTCTCCAAATATGTATTGAAATGAAACCATATCAGTCGAGATCAATATTGAACTGAAAGCAATGAATCACCAGAATCTGGACAGCTCTTGGTTATCCCTTTCGCTGGTGGCCATGTGCATATTTACTTTTACTTCCGTTAAATTTAACTCACATTCAGGCCATCGCGATAATTGACTTTGAGCTGACGTGTGCTCAATAATATATGCATGGCTTCTTCAAAATTGGTTCACTATTACTGAATTGTTACAGCGAATATGCTGAGAGCTCCCACATGAGTAAAAGCTCAGCAGAACACTGGTTTTCTTCACTGTATTTGGCCGTAAACACACTATAGAGGTGGGAACGGGTAGTATATCGGTCCCACGGGCCTACTCTTTCCCCTGCACATCATTCAACACGGAAAACAGACAACTTTCTCACACCCCTTAAGGAATGTCTGAGATGATATCAGCATCATAGAAATCGAGTGAATGGCGTATTCTGAGAGCAGATATATCAGAAGGTTGTGAAGACGTTTTCAAAAAGAATATGATGAATAAGTCTGTATACAGTTCGAAACAAAGTAGCCTCCGCTTTAGTGTTCGATCAGAAGAAATCAAGTGTAACTCAATGATACCTCAATGAGCAATGATGTGTAAATCGCAATTACAACGTAAAAGGTAGAAAAGCCCAATAAACTAAACCAGTATAAGATCGTAAAAGAAAAGGGTTCACATCCGCTATATCCGCCTGGATTGTGCCATCGTCGCCAAGNAAGTCTGTATACAGTTCGAAACAAAGTAGCCTCCGCTTTAGTGTTCGATCAGAAGAAATCAAGTGTAACTCAATGATACCTCAATGAGTATTGATGTTAAATCACATCTACAAAGTAAAAGGTAGAAAGGCCCAATAAACTAAACCAGTATAAGATCGTGAAAGAAAAGGTTTCGCATCCGCTATATCCGCCTGGATTGTGCCATCGTCGCCAAGCAGATTGTTATTGAGCGATTGATTTTTGAGTGTATCGAACCAAAGATCATGATAGGACCTCCCTGATCGTGATCGTTCTGATTATGGACCCACAACAACTGAAACCTAGTTTTTGGACTGAAATACTCCCACCTCATTGAGTGAGCCAGCTCCAGATGTGCTAACAGAACATTGAATTGCAGGCAGCTTCTTTGATTACAGTACCCTGACTCGATAAAAGTTGTAAACACATTACTATGATCCCAATTGGGGTTCCTACCCGAGCTTCAAGTAGTTTGCGAGTTTTCTAGGAACTCCCAAGGAGTCTCTGTGTGATATAACCCTAACAAAGGGATGAGAATCAGAGTTCAGCCTTTCTGATGCATTTCTTTAGCCCTAGTCTGCTTTACCTTACCTAAGGATACCTTTTTCCATTGAGCTCACAATTAAGTCATTGAGAATGAATCTACTATGAAGAATCGAACCATCTTCATCTAAACGAAACATTTTGTAGCATCTCACATACTCATAAGTAAATACGTCATGTACATAGTAGTACCATTGCACACAAGCTTCTAAATTTCGAAATTGTATCAGAATTATATTAATATTCTATATCAAGCACCTCCGCTATCATACCAACCCTTTTCAAGTAATGTATCCTCCAGTTTTCTGAAAAACTGGTTATGGCTGGAAAAACATCACAGTAGGGACCCTTTGAACAGTGGGAACGGTCGGTTGCCCAAAGGTCCCAGGGAGTGTTGATGAGCTTTTCACAATCACTCAAATACATGGTGAACTACTGCCAAAAACGTGAATAGGATTGGGTTGTAAGCTATGGATTTGGATTCTGAGAAGCATTCCATTTAGATTCTGAGCAGCGCATCCTAAAGAGGACTGAACAAAGACGAATTCCCGTCGTAACAACAACAGACAGACATTGTTGTGGAAGATGGAGGTAAACGAATTATCATGCGTACCGAAAAACTGGGTGATGTTTTCTTTCTCTTTCATTCTTTCCGCTTCTGAAGCTCAAAAAACATCAGCACTTCTTAGTAAAACTGCATTTCGCCCAANAAAGAGGACTGAACAAAGACGAATTCCCGTCGTAACAACAACAGACAGACATTGTTGTGGAAGATGGAGGTAAACGAATTATCGTGCGTACCGAAAAACTGGTGATGTTTTCTTTCTCTTTCATTCTTTCCACTCCTGAAGCTCAAAAAACATCAGCACTTCTTAGTAAAACTGCATTTCGCCCAAGTGCCAAGTGAAAAGGTACATGAATGGGTTTTCAATGAAGATAACTAACCTATTCAATGCCCTCATGCTGTGGTATGCGATGTGGAAACATATTCTACTTGATCGCTCTTTTAAGCATTGGTTTTCTACCTTTTTACTGATATTCTTTGATATTTGCTCGAAATTATAATTAAAAATAACTTTGATGTATCTAGTTTCAGAAGAATAATTTAAGTAATGATCTGGAACGGTGCAAAAGCGGATGAGGAAGTCGCGAAAGGAAGTCGGAAAGGAAGCGGATAAGGAAGTCGCGAAAGTCGGCGTGTTCAGAGAAATTAAGGGACAAGAATAAAACGAAAAAAGCTGCATGGATGAAATATATGGACGAGTTGTCCGAATGTGTGCGCCATCACGTACGCCTAGGTACAGCAAGCTATCAGCGTGCACCGTATGCACCCCGAATGGCGCAACCACTACAGCCTCTACAACGCCGTGAAAACTCGTCCGGTGGCTAAGTCGTTTTTTGAGGGCCTTATTACGCCCTACCTGAGCCGTTTTTCGACCCGACAGAACCCCTTCTGCTATCTTGGGGAACGCTTTAGAAGTTTTTCAATTTCACACGAAATTTTCCCCGAGAAGATGAACGCGTGAACTCTTCAATGGTATGTGCACGTGCAGAGAAGGTTACAGACTCATCTGTCAAGGGAAGCTCAGGAGTTCAAAGCTCCAGGACGCCATCACGGGTTCTCCCAAAGGAGTAGTGATGGACGTGAACAAGAAGGGCCTCACCCGATCTAGAGCAAAAGCAGAAGACGATGTAGATGGAAGGAATTGAAAGGACAACGTACAAGAACATCAGTAGCTGACATGGCGCGGGGTCGAGTGATCCGAGTTTTTTCCCTCATTTCTAGCGAAAAGCTCACGTAAACAGCGGGAAACGGACCAATCCTTTCTCGTCCCTTACGAATAGTTTACTCAATAAGAATTCATTCTTTCCTAGAAGAAGCATTGATAGAAGCACGGCTTATCCTACAGCATTAATCTCAAAAATCCTAGGATACTTGGCTTGGCAATCAATCCATTTGACAACAACAACTCATAAGTAACGAAAAGAATATCTTTATACAATTTTATTATTTTCATGGAAAATATAAATTTAAATGTCGACACTCGTTTGAGTGTCTGTCGAATTATGCTGCAAATTTTTTTATACAACTCTATCAATCGTCGATCCCCTTTTTCGTTCCTTCATTCCACCGGTACTTTGGCGTCGCCCGCCTCGTAAGTATGGATTGTTCAATTGAAGACCTTCATTACTCAACGCTTGTCGAATATTCTGATTCGATCCCTGAAAAAAATCAACTTGCATTATATTCTAGTACTCCGATGGAAGCTTGGCTAGGAGAGAAATCCCTAGAAATCTGCCTTCTTGCGAAGATTAAGGCTTCTTAAAGGTAGTGGAAAAGAGGCTGCGGGAGATTTGGAAACGATGTCTGGACGAGATTTCAGTTGCAGCAACTGGGTAAAGAGCGGGTAACGGAACTTCTCCCCTATCGCGGCATTCTCCCTTGCGGCATGCGGCAAATGTCACTGCAATTACCGTACTCACCCCGCCTCCCGAAAATCGATAGGACGCGATATTTTTCCTTGACTGNGACCCGGTAAAGAGCCAGCTACACAAACCCAAAATGTAACATGTGCCCTACTGCCTTCACAAAGATGCTCGAACTCGCCCACCTTTGGGGCATAGAGCCGATACAATGTTGGAGCCCTTACAACATGTTATCTGGCCCGTTTTTTGATCTGGTAGCGCCATGCATGGTATACCGGGTACAACAGATTTTGTTTGGAATTTCAGAAACATTTCTATGGTGAACCGTTTACAGAACTATATAGCATTTGATTCGTACTTGGGCATGACGAGTAAGGGCTATGTCCTGCGGGCGATTTGGAACCTGTGGGCCCTGCATGCGGAAAATGGGTAGGGTAAAAACCTTACTGCTGTTATTCAAAGGAATGTGGATTTTGAACCACAAGTTGGCCCACAAACTACGTATCTCAGCGGTACCCCCAGTACTGTTCCCTCCCATTCAGGATATGGTAAGATTTAGTTGGTTATGGCTAGTCAATGAACTTACGGCATTGCTACTGGTAGCCATTTGTCGCATGTAATCGTCTTGGATATCTTCTCCTTCTTCCTCGTTATTCACTTTCACCTGTCCTCTGGTGGTGTTCAACTCCTTGAGTTTTCTATCCAGCAACTCGCTGAATAGCGCATACAGGCCATCCACATTTTCACCACTGGCGAGGACCTTGAAATAAGAGCATTCTCAGTCTGAATCTATAGTTCAGCAAAATGAGTTACCGTACCTTGTCGAGTTGCTTTTGCTGTGGAGTTACGGTCATGTCGTTAACTGACAGATCTTTTTCATAGCCCTTATTAACATATGTACCATCACCAAATCGTAGTTCTTGCCTGTAAAAAATCAGTACCTGTTCTTTAATCGCTTCTGGTAACCTATGCTAAGAGAACCTAATGGCATACTCTCGAAGGGCCGAGATCCTCTTATGCTCTGCTTTTTGCATTTTTGTGAGATTCATCGCATCTTCGAGTGTGATCTTTTGATAGGCTCGAACGATAGACGATGCATCGAAATTCTTCTTTTTCTCGTTTCTCATCAGAATCGGTCGAAGAACTTTTGCATTGAAACGTTCAAAACTGAAAACGAGTTGTTTGCATGTATGAAAAGGTTCTGAGTGATTTTAGAATGCTTCTATCATGACAAATTACTTTTTATCTATGAGCAAATCCTTTGTTTTGTAGCTCATTTATGCAAGATCGCTGGTGCTGGGGAAAAATCGGCGCGCGTATGCGACGCGTTAGGATAACGACATTGTAGCGCCCCGCGGCGGTATAGCGGGCGGCAGAGGTGACTGTGTTGGTATTTTCTGTAGCGGTGAGTGAGCCAAAGCGACTATCTGGGATTTTTACAACTTTTAACGAAATGCCAGTAATTTAAATAATTGTCTGAGGATTGCTTTTGAGTTGAAGCGTCACAGCTGCGCTGCGTCACCCTGACGTCATCTTTACGCGGAGCGTATGTACGTTTTGAGCGAGTCAAGTGTCATTTGAGTTTTTTTTGGCTCGAAAATTGAATACTCTCCAAAAATTTCTTTTCGAGCCTCCAAAATCTATGTTTTTGAGACCCGAGATTTCCTTTAGAATCGCATTACAGTGGCATTTCATGGTAAGAAACTTACTTATCGCGAAGTGAATAGTGACCTTGTTGGCCGGCAATATCCTCCACACCTGACATCATGTAGTCCAAATACTAAAACATATCCAGTCATTATCTTGACGAAAAATGTTGTTAAAAAAGAGCGTTTTTAGTTTGAAAAGAAAGTGCTCCCTATTGATGCTCTCTCGAAACCACGATTCAATATAACACGATTAGTCCCGAGGGAAACATCGTACCAACCATCGAAAATTATGTCGACATAGTTAGACCAAGGGAAGTTCAGTGTCCATCAATTTATTTTTTCCAACGATCATGTATTCCCTTCCATGACTTCGAAGGTAGTTTCAAGCGTGGTGTGAGAATAGGGAACTTCGAAGAAAGCAAAACCGCCGACGAAATGGCTTTAAACGGGCGTTTTGGTAGCACGTTATAGGTCCTCACCATGTTTCTCGCTCTCTTCATTGCCTACACACCACCCTCAAGTGATCTGGAAGGATATTGTCAACAAATAGTGCTTTTATTTCGCAATGAATCGTCGTTTCTGTTCCCTCTCAATCCCATCAACGTCCCAGTGCATTTACGAGTGCGAAATTGCTGTAACCCCCAATTGCGGATCCACAAAGGTAAAAAGAATCCAATGGTTTTAATGCGATCCCATTAGTGCCTTCTCCTTCTATGAGCATCCTTGGAGAGCAGTTTGGAGTATAAGCCCTTCCTTACGTCGATCCCGGTCTGACTCGCATACAAAGAAAACTTTTAGAGCGACTGTATCGTCTGAAAGGTTACTCTA